TTAACACGTGGATAATTTCATAATTAATAAGCAAATGTATAAATTAGAGTACAGAAAACTTGAAAATACTTTTTTTTACTTAATAAGGTGAACTAATGATAAATTTTCGCATAAAACCTTGACTCAGTTTGACAAGAACGAAATTCTTAAACCTTGTGATAACATTCCTTCGGTTTCAGTATGGTATATATAAACAAACATTTGTATATCGCCTGACAAATGTAACAACAGTTCATTAATTTAACAAAATGAAGAAGTACATAGGTAATGTATTATAATTTTTCATTCATTATTCGCTTTAGTATTACTGCTTTCTCTTTATTTCTTAAAATACTATATACTTACAACAAAACATTTTGTGCAGGGTTTCTAGCAATTTTAAACTACATTTCGTCACGTGCAACTGCTAACAACTATTACTCCAGCAACGAAACTATCTGCCCATACGAGTACATATACAATCCGGTCTGCGGATCGGATCAATTGACATATTATAATAGAAACATTTTAGAATGTATTAGCAAAGAGAATCAGAATAAAGGATTAGGTCCAGTGTTTGCAACGGATGGTTACTGCAAGGATTGCAAGTGTCAAAACGTTAATTTACCTGTTTGCAGCCTAGATGGCAGCACGTACGCTAATGAATGTGAAATAGACTGCGTTAACAGATATCGCATCAGTCGTGGACTCTCTATCGTCTATCTTGCGTATAGGACAAGATGTGTTGGACCGCCTTGTGACTGCCCTACAATTACTTCACCAGTGTGCGGATCAGATGGCATTTTATACAGAAATGAATGCGTGCTCAAATGTGCTAGCAAAAACACTATCGCTTTAGGACTGCCTGAAATCAGTTTAAAGAATGTCGGAGCTTGTAGTGATGGATGCTTATGCCCTCGAACGTATCAACCTGTTTGTGGAAGCGATGGAAAAACCTATGACAACGCATGCGATATATATTGTGAAAACAGTAAAGTGAAAGATAAAAATTTTAAAACTATTGAGCCTTTATATTATGGTAGATGCAACACGTGTATTTGCAGCACAGAATATGAACCATTGTGTGCTAGTGATGGCACAGCTTTCGATAATCAGTGTAAGTTTAATTGCGAAAATGAAATGCGCTATGTTGCAGGATTGCCACTTTTAACTGTATTGGGAAAGGGTGAGTGCGTCAGCTGCATTTGTGAAGCTAAGAACGATCCCGTTTGCGGAACAAACTACCAAACCTACGCTAATGAATGCGTTCTCAAATGCGATAGTATGGCAAGAGCACAGAAAGGGCTTAAAGGTGTAACAGTTCTTTACAAAAGTGAATGTCAAGCTGACACACCTGAGTGCTACTGCAACCATTGTACATACAGTTACGAGCCAGTGTGCGGCAATGACTACATAACATACTGGAACGATTGCTGGATGACATGTTTTTCTGAGTGTAACAAAAGAAAAGGGCTAAAATCTGTTCAGGTCTTGAAGAAAGCACCTTGTTTCTAGTAGTTATGATTTCGCTAATATTTTTCTTAAATTTTAATTTAATTCTGAGTAACAGTTATTTTTTCGTGTCCTATCAAAATCGAAAGCAGCATTTTAGGAATATTACATTTATACATACATTTTACAATCGAAAAGGTACAAAGGCAGCTCAAATAAACCAAACAGTAAGTTATGTATGGAATGTGATATATGGAAATGATGAATACACCATAAGACAATGCCAAATCTGGCTTACAAAATTTCATTCCAGCAATTTAGACTTAAGATCGGTAAGGCCTGTTAAATACGATGAAGACAAAATAAAGGCATTGATAGTTACAAACTGCCGAATAACAAGTCGTGATACTGCTAAGAGGTTAAATTTATCAGATTCAAGCGTTCATGATCAGAGAAACATCTTGGTCTCATTTCACAACTTGACCTTCTGGGCATTCCTGGTGTTTTTACAGAACAAAATTTGCTTCTTAGCATGAAGGGCAGTGATGTGCTTTTCAAACGTCAAGAAAATAATATATTTTTGAAGCGAATCGTAACTGGCAACGAGAAATGGGTTGTTTATAATAATAAATATTTATATTAAATCGATCGCCAAAAACAAGCATTGTTCACATTTAAAAAAATTACCAACTGAACACATACAGAACAACCGTAGTTGTTGCAGATGTTTACCTTCTGACATAAAAAAAGATTATAATGTGTGAATTTTATGTACAAGCTTAGATATAAAAATATCCATGAGTAATATTGATAATACATAGACCTTTATCGCATAACATATTGTATATTAGACTTCGTACTATGGTTATCTAGATAATGGACACGATTATGTCCTTCATACTTTGATTACTCACGGGTCTACGTCCAATAACAGCAATCTAGAATATATTTTTGCTGTTGATGTTTGTTTTGTTCGTCTTATCTTGACAATAATATTTAAAATTTCCTTCAAGATTTAACTTCCGTATCCAGTTAAGATTGAGCCGTGATAGCTCAGTGTCCGGGCGCT